GCCTATTCTTCAGTACTTCCTGGAGCAAGATGACTCCTGCTTTGATTGACATCTGCTCTTGTCTGTCAATAAGGTCATAAAAATAAGGTGACCTGTGATTTCCTATACAAATACTGCCAGTATGTTTCCATAGGCAGATTTCATTTTTTTTGAATTACCCCCTTAAAGGGAAATAGTCACTCCATTCTTGTGCTGGACACATACACGATTCGAGAATGGAACTACAAATTAAAGTCTGTGCAAAGCAAAGAATACTGAGTAGCAGCTCCATCTGAATCTGACCGCGCTGCCTGATTAAGTTCTTAAAGGCAGTTGGGTAAAGGGGCCCTTTCCTGATCTGATAACTGCCAGGGAGAAGCCAAATGCGGAGTCAATCTGCAAATACTTAATCCTCCAGAAGGCAGATTAAGTGTATAATTGACCTAGATAATCCATGTATCATCTCCAGTCAAATGTTCCCTGGGTCCGGTTCACAATGACACGGGGGCCTGCAGAAAGCCAGTGTCATGCAGCATCACCACCAGTGTGGATTCCATCCAAGTTTGAGATGGCTTTTTAATCACTCATCTCAGAGCCTGTGAGGTTTAAGCAGATGAATTCACCCTAAGCACATCTCTTTTAATCCTGATTTTCTTCTCAGTCTGTGTCTTCAAGAAGTACAAGGAGGAAAGAAAATAAATTAATTTTTGTTTAGACCTTGAAAATCTTAGGTGCTTCTATTGATGATCTGATCTCTCATTTCAAAAAGCATGTTTTTGTTTTGGGGAAGATGTTGAATTAATCACTAGAGAAGGCGGGGGGGGGGGTGGAGTGCAGGAAGCCATCTGCATGATTTATAGATACTCCAACTTGAAATCGCTATCTTCGAGTTATTTCTTGAGCTTGTGATTTTCTCCTTAGCTGCTGCTGCAGGAACATGGAGATTATTTCATATCCATGTTTTTATTTTCTTTAAAAATCAGCAATAATTGCCGAGGAGGGCAAGCTTCCCCTTGAGACTGATAGCAATCTGATTTCCTTTCAAAAATTCACCACTTTAATATAATTTCAATTCATTGTTATTGTACATATTGGAATATTCTCTTGATTTAAATCTCTGAATATTTTGTTTCTAAATAGAAGAAACTTACTTTGCAGCAAGTGAGAACAATATGCAACCATTCTTCATATATGATTTTTAGAAAAACAATATAGATTAAAAAATGTACATTTAAAATATCGTGGGTAACAGTTTGGAGATTCTTTTCTAATCAGTACTTTATTTTGGATTGGTTAGGTCCCATTTAAAGTTCATTATCAAAAAAGTATTGTTAGTGTTTTATGGAAAGACTATACAAACCAATTAGATCAATAAACAGGGAAACTCTTGTTGCAGGAAAATAATCTGGTAATGCAATATTATGTCCAAACGTATTTTGTCTAATAAAGCTAGAGTATGCTTGGTTTTAAAAAAAAAATTTGTAAGATGAATTTGGAAAGCCTATTCTTACGTTACATAATAAAATAAAAATGCAGAACATCCCAAATAGAGCCCTGAATACTATGCCGATAATCTTCCCCAAGCACCAGTTTCTAGCCACAAGTACAAAGATGAGGCAGAGGAAGTGACTTCAAGATTACTGGATGGGGGGGGGGGGGCTCGCTAAAACAGAACATGCACCGTTAAGTGACCAGCTATTATGCAGAATATTCCCAGATACAAACACACACTAAAGCCATCCAGCCTTTTCTCCAAGGGCACACTCAATTGTGCAAAAAAGGAAACAATCCAAATAGCAAGAACTCAAGGGATTTACCAGGTAAATAAAACTGAGACTTGAAACAGTTCAAAACACAACAGGAATTCTTAGAACATGCCTCTGAATGTCAGATGCCAGCAGAACAGAACCTGGGAATGACACCACAGAACCAACACCCCCCCAACAGCAAACAATCTCAGAGAGAGACAGATATATATATATATATATATATATATATAAATTTTTTCCCCTTCATTCAAAATGCTAATTTGCTATTATTCATTTTTGCCATTTATCAAAATGCAACAATTTGGAAGCAAAACCTCCCAGATCAACAAGTCTTTCTCAAAAGGTTTCTGCCAATTGTTTATAGGACCACCATCGTGAAGTTTAAAGAATAAGTTCGTTGCAGCCAGAAACATAGGGCAGCAGCTTTCAGGCCCCTTCTGCCTTGATGTTCCCACCCTCTTGTTTAGCTCAGTGGACACGAGTCTCCAAGAGCATCTATGCAAAGAAATAAACAGGATGCTTGAGGAAACAGAAGCCGAAAATAATCAAACATGTTGGTAATCTGATGTTTTGCTGCTAGATTATAGAAAAACAGTAAGTACTGAATTAAATTACTGAGGCTGCATGGTAATGAAGCTTTTTGAGAAGCTCTGGGTTTTGAAAATGACAAATGTTTTAAATCCCTGACAGATTCAATAACTTTTTTTGCACGACATCAGTTAGGTTGCCTAGCACCAACATATTCATTCTGTAAATTAGGGGATCAGGTTATTATTTGGAAAGAAGAAAAGTAAATGGCCAAGAAATTCGTATCTAAATAAGCTCCTGAAAATTWAAAAAAAAAAAATGACTGCTCCGTGGGGTTGGGAGAGATTTGTAGTCAATGGTCAGATTGGCTCAGCCTTTAAAATCACTAGGGACTCCATTGGGAAAACAAAATTGGGACAATAAGAAGGTCAATTGTTCCCAGGCTGTTGCTCATGCAGTGGAATATGTGGAGGAATCAGAGACACTTGTGAATTCCTGAGTGACCCTGAACATAACTGGCTCTCTGAAAAGCATCTTCTTAGTAATATTTCTTTCAGTTATCCATTCGCAGTCATGCCCAGGGGGTGGAAATGTGCCTGCCTGTGCCCACAGTTAGGCATGTCCACTTTCAACTTCTGAATCTGCTGCCAAGGCTGGACTCTTTACTTTTTTGCATCAAGAGTGGGTTGTCCCTTTCCTTAAAAAAGAGCCCCCAAAGAGATCATTTGCCTTGCTGGCTTTTTGCAAGRCTACCTTTAAAAAGTTCTTTTCCCTTCTTCTACTTTGAAATTTAAAACAAAACAAAAAAGAAAAGAAAATAAAAAGAAAGAAAGAAAAAGAGGGGATTATTTCATATCCATGAAGTCTCAGGTTAAACTGCAGACGAAGCCTCCAATTCAGTACTAGGTGTTTTTGAAGTTCCAGCGAGATCATGGCACACACGCTCGTGCGGGGACATGCACGCACGCGCATACACACGCGCGCACGCATACAGGGGTGCACACGCATACGCGGGCCACACAAAACCGATAATCAGAAGATAACTGATCAAAGGAAAAGAAAAAAGAAAAGAAAAGAAAAAAGGCAACCTAGGCATTGAAAAGAACAATCCACAGGCTTCTTGAAAATTTGTGGTTTGGAATTGAATTCAGCCGAGAGGGGAAGAGTGTCCACACTCCTAACTGCAGACCCCGAGGGTGCTGCCTGTCTGTTTTCAATGCCTATGGGAGGGGGGGATTGTGCCCCAGATATATTAGGCTCAGGACTTTGATAAAGGCGCACATGCAGAGAAGGGAGAGGACCCGCTGGTGAGCTTTATGTATGTATGAGGCGTTCTCAGTGGATGTGGGTCATGGTAGAAGATGTACACAGGAAGATTATTTGATTCTAATTCATGCCACTTGATATAATGTGATAAAACATTTGACATGAGAGATAAGTTCCATTTTAATCCAAGAGAGGACGAGTGGGAATTAAAAAGTAAGAAGGGTTTTGTGGTGCAGGAAGGTGATGCGGGGGAGAGGGGTATGGAACACAGAGAGGGGACGATTGGGAAAAGGGGAGAAAAAAAAGAGAGAGAGAGAGAAGCCTTTTCAACACACTAGGAAAGCAAATGAGCTGGAAGACAAAGCATTTAAAAGTCAGAAGCTGCAGAATCCAAAAGCGGTGCCAACAATGAGCTCACTTAGCTATGGAACAAAAACACACACGCGCACACACACACGCACACACACACAAAAACTCAGTGTAAATTGGTGAACACAATCAAAGAAAAAAATATAGAAACAAGGATTCCATAATAGACCAAAACATTAATGTTCCGGCTGGCACTAAAAATACAAGAAACCTGGACAGGAGGAGCTCACGTTTCACGAGACAGAAGTAGTCTGCACAATTAGAGCCACACGGAGACAAGGACATTGGCTTCCATGCACTCTGGCCGGGTCTCCACTGGCAAATTGGGGGAAAATGGGAAGCAAAATACCTGGCTATATTAAGCAACCCCATCTGTTTTGGTCTGAAAGAGGCAGGCAATTTGAGACCAAAGCAGATTCTTTTTTTTTTTTTTTTTTTTTTCTTTTTGCCTTGGTGGCTTGCTTTGCTGTGCAGATGTAGTCACAGTG